ACATGAGAAAAATGAACAAGAATTGGATTGGATTAGAAAAGAAGGCCCAGGATAGAGTTGGTTGGAGAATGCTGGTAGGCGGCCTATGCTCCATTAGGAGCAACAGGCGTAGGTAAGTATGTAAATAAGCATAAGGCAATGTATAATCACTTACGACGTAGTATGAAACCTAATAGGCAATAAATCTTTGTAACTACTTTATTCACATAGGTTGTGTGTAGCATCAGCTAGGGTGAAACTAAGTATTCTTAAGTAATGATCGGTCTTGAGATTTCTGTGTAGGTGGACATCAATTAGTAACATGAGACATGCATTATTTAACCGATCAGTCATAATCTAAGTAGAGCACGGAACAAAAATGGGTTAGCCTAACTAACCATACAAAATCAACGCGAAAAATATAATTACAGGAGAAAAGCCTTTAAATCTTTTTACAGTTTCCGCCAGATATTCATGATAGTCACTATAAGAAGTCTGGTAAATCCCAAATAACACCTACTACCAATATAAGTGTACTAGTTGTATGTGCAGTTAAGCCGCAGTATGAATATCTGTCATCTATTTTTACCTTCTAAATGCTATACAGTTCAAGTAACTTGGTTCTGTATAATAACACCAACCTTTTAGATCTCGCGAATGACACTAATAATAACCTGAAACCAAGAACGAATAGCAAGATACAAAATAAAGTCATTGGTTAGATACATCGAACTTATAGAAAAATTTAAACCTTAGTCGTTGAGAATCTTGCATCGATGCTCGTTCAGAAAGTATTACTCTCTTGGTCACTAGATTTACTCGGTAAGTCTGATTATACTACGTGATGATCTTAAGATTTTGATCAGATCCAGTCAATTAGTAGACAGATTGTATGAATGAATGATTTAGTACAAAAGTAAAAAATTCCTATCAACAAAGGCTGGGCGTTTGAGTTGCCCCAAGACATTACAACCCAAATATTTACTTACGTCCTTAATTTGCATTAGTATTGTGTTTTTGGTCATCCCGTATTAAACGTTGAAGCTTCGTGTGTTTAAAATGATAACCTCATGCTCCGACTATTTTGTTACACGATCCGGGTAGAACCTTATTACATTCACCAGTTTGGATTCTCCCTAGTAGAAAACGTAGTGTGATTACCATCATTGTAAGTTTATAAAAAAGATATTGCTATTGCATTCATAATGAATTCTTTTGAGCTGGCTGTAGGTTATTAATCGTCAGAGATTTTGATATTCATATCGGTGTTGAAGAAGTGAGATTGGATGTTAGTTCTTAGATAACAACTTTCAACCACAAAATTTATTTCCAAACATAATTTTAAATTATAGACTTAGTCCTTGTCGAGTAGTTTGTAAGAAAAACAGAAACAAATTAGAAACTGCTGTTGAGGTCACTACGAAATGAATGAAGCACACCTTACTCTTTGTTAGCTTTTGACAAGGTCTTTGTATGCCCTATCTACAATTGTGTCACTATTTATTGATAATAGATGGTGATATGCAAGTCATTTTGCTAGGGGTAACCTTGACTGATAGATTAGTTGTTTGTTGTAAGTATTGATTATAAGAACAAATTGAACTAATTACGGTTAAAAAGTTTCATAAATTTACGCAAAAACACATTGGGGTTACATAAATACCAAAATTTATTTTGGAACTGACTATCTGAAGTGAAGACACGTTAAAAGATGCTCAAATATGCACCATTTACCTACTAAGGGAACAAAAAGATAGAATAAGAAATAATTTTTCAGTCGGATGGTCCCTTAATCTCATAGTAGTTTGACTTGAATGTTTCATGATCAGCAGTAAAGATCAGGCATCACAGATTTTCGTACGCTTTAGTAGTCTATGTATTTTTTCAGCAATCCTTGAAGAGTGACTCTGTACTGTACTTGGTATTCGATTGTTTTATCTTCGGATATGGTCTTAAACTTACTAGATACTTCAAAGGAATGGACCATATTACCCAACCAGTTTGGTTAGATGGGTGAAAATAGATGGTTGACACACACTTGGATTAGAGGCAACAGATTCAAGTGATATCTCATGAGCTTTGGATCTGAAGTGAAAACAGTGGGATCACTGTTTGCTAGGAAAAACGTCAATTGGGAAGTGCTGGTATATAGGCATCGTTAATAAATTTTCCACTGAAGTTAGCAGCTCATAGATTGCACTGAGGGGAATCGACATTTTGGGGCATTGCTGTTTACATGACCAGGGTAAGACAGATATTCAGGAATACTGTTAAGAAAATGATGGACAGTGTATGGAACTGTCTGTTGAAACTTTCAGATTGCATGGAGTTCTTAACAGGGACTGTCAGAATTATCAACCACATCAACAACTAACATGGGGTACTGTGGTCAGACTAGTGTGTATAGAACTGTGGGAGAGTTCTGTTGGAGCTGCGGAATACCAGAAGTGCAACACTTGGGGTTACATTAGGGAGGAATACAGTTTGTATTTACACGGCATAATTCTTAGAGTATTGGATTACTGTAATACTATATTCCCATGATGTTGGATTCCGCTTGACTTGTAAGCTATTTTTATTCGTCTAACTGTTCCTTAACTATTATTAGTATTCGTTCACCTTCTGCTCCGCCCCCTACCAATTGTGTTTCGGTTTTTACTTATGGTGTGTTGTAGTTTGATAATTAATATATCTGAAAGCGTAAATGTTTATGGTTTTGCCCGGTATTAGGTGCAATTATCTTTGCTAATAGAACGATAGACCTAATCCCAAAATTGTGGACTTACCATGATGCGACTACTTAATCTATGATACATAACGTGGAATTCATATCACCGTCTATACTGACTCGTCTTATCATTACACTTGGCGATATGATGTTTGGAACTTCTGACGGAAAAGGAATCAGTTGCACACCTGTATGGACGAACCATGTCATTCTGATTAAGTCTTCCTGCGTTCGCCATATCTGAGCTTCCTCAAGTGTTAAATTATGAAAGTGAATCTTCTCAGTTATCGTATGTTCAGTTTCAGGTATCGTGGTTGGGAACCAATACCACTACAAGCCTACGAATGCTTTACAGTGTCTGTATCTCACATATCACTGGATACAAGCAAGAAGAGAAACATGTGTTTTGGACGTATGGGCTTTGATAACGATAGTAGTTACTGTTCAGGTTCTCTGATCCTTTTCCAGAAGCTCACTGTCTTTTTTTACGCAGGGGCTAGCCGCTTGTATGCAGTACTCAAGTTTAAGACGGACGATCACTGTATACAAAGTCATGAACGTTTTAGCGTCCACATGACTAAAAGCCCTACGTATTGACCATAAGGTTCTTAAACCTTTGGCGGCTATTGCACGGCAATGTGCAGCAGTCGTTAAGTCTTGGCTAACGATGACTCCTAAGTCATTATGTGTCTGGACGACAGGTAGCTCAGTGTTATTAATCGTGTATGTATGTGTACCTTGATGACCGATATGCATTACAACACACTTGGAAGTAATTATCGACAACTGCCAGGTTCAAGACCACTCAGATAATTTCTTCAGGTCATTTTGGAGTTCTAAGCTATCGCTCTTACATCGTATCGTTCTCCATATCTTGACATCGTCAGCATATAGCAAGACCGACGATGATAGGAGACAAGGAAGGTCATTTACATACATGAGGAATAGCACTGGCTCCAAAGCTATACCCTGGGGCACTCCACTAGGCACAGTTCCCCAGCTAGACAACCTTGAGTCAACCCGTACTCTTTGTTGACGCCCAACTAGGAAGTCTTTTATCCACATCAATAGATTGCCTCCGATTCCGACACTTTTTAGCTTATATAACAGCCGGTTGTGAGGAACCTTGTCAAAATCTTTGCTGAAATCAGTGTAGACTACGTCTACAAGTAACTTTTGGTCCTAAAGTGCCCACCAGCTTTCGCGAGCGACTAATAAGTTAACGAGACAAGAATAACCTATTCTGAAACCATGTCGCTTCTCCGAAAGGATCCGGTTTTCATTGAGAAACTTAAACAGCTCCTTCTCAATAATCTTCTCTAAGATTTAAACAACCACATTGGTTAGGCTAACGGGTCGGTGATTCGTACCTATTTTGAAGATAGGACTTACTATGGCGTTTTTTCAGTCTTTTGGTAAACGACCCTGCGTTACGGATAGGTTAAAACATATACTTAAAGGGTTCGCAACGAAGTTAGATAATTCCTTCAGTAGCCTAGGATGTAATTCATCGGGCCCCGTGGATTTACCTATGTCAAGCTTATTTAGTAGACCAAAGATATCGAGTTCTTTAATGGTCACGCTATCCAGTTGATGTGTGTTGGGATTTGATAGGAAGGACTCTTCTATGGTATATACATTGCTAAAGTAGTTTGAGAACACTTGAGCCATAACAAAGTCGTCCTCTACTAATGACGCGGCAGTACTGTCTCCCCATAGTGCAGTAATATTTCCTCTTCTTTTTGTCCTTTGGTTTATATAGGAATAGTAGAATTTAGGACATTCTATGGATTCCTTAACAATTTTTTCTTCGCACAACATTCTAGACCTACGAAGGTTAGAGGCTTCGAACGACACGGCCAAAAATAATTTCAAATGGAGGAGGTCTACCCATTCTTTGTTTTCTTTTAAATCCTTAGACCCTAAATTTCTTTTAACGTTTCTGTTCTTATTTCGCTAGTTTATATCTTCTTTTAGAGTCATACCTTTGATGTCTAATCTTTCTTACTGCCACTAGCACTGTTATTTCTTTCATTACTATGATATACGAATTGAAAACATCATCGCTTTGTGCTAATGGGGTATGGCAACTTGGACCGAATGTATATACGTCGTGGGTGACTAACTGACTAAAACGCATCATATGAACTGCTAAAACACATATAATGCACAAAATACAGTATTAAAAGCTGCGCATTCCATGTGAGACTGTTATATCTATCCGAAACATGATGGAAAACCCAAATCTGTGTTATGAACCACGGGGATTGTTATAATGGATAATTTTCAAGGTCACATGGATATTAGTCACACATTTGATTGTAATTTTTCTTTGTTATCGCTAGTCTGCATTGTCAAATGTAAGTTCAAATTAATTGTTAATTGATTTATCGACTTGCCTTTCACCTCTTCTTCTATAAGAATATCTCATATACTGCGTTTTATACATTTCTCTGACAAAACAAACGGACAGACTGGTCACAAAATAATCAAAGGACGAACATAACCATTCTACGTTTCAAACTTGAAATGTCACTATCTTGGAAGTCCCCTCAATCTCATGAATCAGAAAATGACAAGAATAATGTGAGCAGAAAATCAGTTATCTTAAGTTTATTGAGTCCAAACAAAGGAAGATTATTTGGAAGCAATACGTCCATCGCTGATATGCCCTGTAGCGTACACTTGTTGGATGATCGTTGCATGTCCGTTTCAGTATCAGTAAGCGATTTATTAGAATATGATTTATAAATGATATCATTTTAGCGAGTAGTTACGGATTAAATTTTTTCAAAATATAAACTCATTCGAATCATGGTTACGAATTGCGGTTTTGAAGCCACAAATGTTCACAGTAATATTGATAGATACTTAACTTTCGAAGCATTGTTTCGATAAAATATTTTCTGAGTAAAATAAGAAAGAAGTCACCTTCAATTTTTGTTAGAGAAAGATTCATTTTAAAGTCTATGTTTTAAATGTACGTTATTGTAGAATGGATCACATTAAGATAGAAATTAATCCACTGTTTTTCAAGTCTTATAAATAAATCATCTCTATTGGAGGAAAATGAAAATCTAGAAAACTATGGCTAGTTTTAGCAATGGTTGAATTTCGTCCTAACATTTTTACGGGATAAGCTATTATCAGGCACTGAAACAGTGAAAATTCTTTGAAAGAGTCAGTGTTCAACTTGCAAGTAATGAAAATATTCACATGGTTGGTTTGGTTCTACCTAAAGAATCAGATGCAATCTGATGTCAAGTCAGTCTTCAAGAGTACGAAACGATAGACCATAAAGCTACCCTCAATCAGGGATAAAACTGAAAGTATATAGAAAATGGAACAGTACAACCATCCGCACCAGATCACTAGTGGGAACGCCGTGCTCAACTTTTCTTGCAACCACTAGCCAGTTTGAAACAATCACTATTCGATATATTGATAACCTATCGAATGTATCTTCAAAACTCCTCGCTTCTGACTTTTGATTTCACTGGGTAGGCTCAATTCATTAAAGAAGGTATTACTGGTTAAAGTGTTGTCACACTACAAATACCTGTGGCATCTTCAGTCTTATCTACTGTTCTAAAAATAAAGTTCAGTTCTTTATTTAATACTAACTCTGTCTAAAAGGTTCATATACTTGTATAAAGTATCTTATGATACGTTTTACTGTGATTTTTGCTGTTTATGTTTGAGGTTTTTTGAACCCCTATCTGCACCTTAGTTAGTCATAATGTTCTTTCATTCTTTGAGAGAAGAATAGTTTCCCAATACATGACGCAGGATCGAGCAATGAACAATATTTTCAAACGCTTTGATGATCAACCTAATTGAACTAAGTTGGTAATCTGAGTCAACTATGTCCTCAATGTGGATTCAATAAACCAAATAACAACCTATCAGTCTTTCACTGGTTTTGTCCGGTTTAATAGTTTAGCAGCGTCAGTACAGTGACAATGATGTTTGATAGTACTAATGCTATGAGATAAAATTGTTTGAACCAAAGAACTTATCACGTGATAGATTCAAAAGCAAAACTAGTGTTTTTTACTTCTTGGTCCTCATATGTTCTGTTTTCCTGAGTTACTAATCACAATTGTTATGTTGGATCTGCTTTTCACTCCCAAAATAAGCAGATAAAACTCCATGGCTTAGAATATATCTTGGGATTGTTTCACATACGTATTGCTAACGGAAGAGTAATGAAATCGTTTTGCTCTGGCCACAGGATTCTCATTTTCCAAGATATTCCCGCAGTTATTAAACTATCTATTCCTGTCATGTCAGTTTGTTCTTTAATAATAGCACTTTGTGCAACTTTTGTCAACTTATTTTTCTTAGCACTTGTTTTGTGCTTATTGCCATTATCGATTGATGTTTTTGACCTAATTTTTACTTTACTAAATAATGCTCAACCTTCTGAATAGCCCTTTAAACCTGTTAATAATTGTTACATATCAATCAAAATGATGAAACTAAACGGTCAAAAATTATGTCTGAGCGTTTGTACAGGTAGAAGGTGAACCTATACTACTTAATCAATGAATTCGTGTGACTCATTCATAAAGATCTTTAAAGTTTAGTGATAAGTAATTCCCAACAAACAAGACATGGGTTAAGCCATGATGCTTAAAGCTAGATTCCAGCTTTAGTGGGAGAGATAAGGTTTATTCTAATATAACTTTGTCTAGATGATAATTCACAAGTCCATTAAATCTGTATCCATAGTTTAAATAACAATCACTGATCAGTAATAAATTGTAGAAATAACTGAAGTCATTCAGCTAGAGACAGTTGTTTGGGCACTAAGCCTGGTGATATTCATTAAAAAGAGAACAGCGTTGTTACGTACAAACAGTTTTACATTGTTTAACCGTTTTTAATAGCAATCCCAGATTTACGTGCCTGCTTCAGGCCTTATAATATCAGTTTTGCTCTTTAAAAGTTTAGTGAAATCTACTCATTGTCAAGGGGATTTAACACACCCATTTGTTGATAAAACTGAGAGCTGATTTTTACCTATCTCTTACTAAATTCAGTAAAATACTGGAATAATCCTTGTGTAAATTTTGATTAACGAATTCTCTGTATAGCTACCAGAAGATACCAGCTGTCTTTTTATTCATTAGTGTGGTTCAATTTACAAGGAATCAAAACTTTAATGATGTGATTACTGTTTGAAGTTATAATATGCTTGTCTCTGTTCCTGACATTAGAATAATTACGCCATCCTTCGGAAATAATATAAAACTTATCTCGTACTACAAAAAGCTTAGGGAATTTCTCACTGACATTTTACCCTGTGACGATTTAGCGAGTATAGGACTATGGTATAAAGTGGGATTCCAAGATCTGGTACCAGTTTATGGAATTATTAACTGAGAAGAGCACAGAAGCTCAAAGTTCTTGACTAATTTACCCATAGTTTAGAAATATACTTCTTCAAATTCCGTTTCTCAAGATGCTGAGCATTTGTCAATTTATGTTCGTTTATTCCACATTAACTGAACTCTTCCAATGTTTTTTTTTAATTCTAACTATTTTTCCCCAACCTCTTCTATCTGTCGCATTAAAAAATTTAAATATCAATATAGTATGTTTTCGTGAATAATTTTTTGTATTATGTCTTGCTCATTTCCGAGTTCGTCATAAAAAGATTGATTTCAAACAAACGTTTTGCACATTTTTCGAGGTAACATAGTTGGTATCTTTTAAGAGGGTGTAAACATATTAGTAAACGTTTTATTATGATCTGATAAATAATACATACCAATCCAGTTTTAATATTCATATTTGTTATTTAATATTCTGTTGCGTATTTTGATGAATAATTGATCAGGTCACACACTTCTCTTAACTATTCATCAATCTGATTGATAGAATTTATCAGTATAATATAATAGTAACAGTATTAAAAGTTACTAATACTAATAGTTTAATGTATTAATCAACAAAGTCTTCTTTCGATATTTCAATACTGAAGTATGTACACAAACTCATGGAGGTATGAGTCAATTTGACAAAAGAGTACACAGTTGAAAAAACAAACAATACGACTAATCAATAATATTCTACACAAAATATACTTATCAATATTAAAACAACATTTTTATAATTTAATTGATTTTATAAAAGAACACTAAATCAATTTTTAAAATGATGTATTATCTCTATCTGAATTAAAGTCGATACTTGACATAGCAACAATTCACTATTTCTGTTTTCTTAATTATATATTTTAACTCAACAACATGTGATGAATACGAATAATTTAATACATTTTAATGGCATCAAAGTTTTGATAAATTTGTTCTTTATATATATATATATATATTTAAAAGGAGTGGAGAGATTAGAGTTTTGTTATCTTTCATTGACTTTAGAGGAATTTTCTAGAACTTTCTAATCATGGAACAAATAATGTATTAAGATACATCTTTAACTTAATACAGGATTAATTTTAAGAATTAATGTTATGTTGACTTATATACAACAGTTTTTATAGTTGGTAACGGAATAAATTTTATTATTTGTCCTATTATACGCCTATAGAATCAAAATGATAAAAATAGAAGTTACTCACTGTTTCATTCAGTTTATCATCCAGTAGTAATAAACAAATCAGATGATCAATAGTTTATCCACAAGAAATAAAGAATCTATAACTTGTATGAGTTTATAACAACTAAACTGTAATGTTTGTGATGATTTTCAATCAGCACTAAAATGAGTTATAAGCTATAAGGAGCAGGTGGTTTAACGTCTAGAATCCTAGATTTATCAAAAAATTATAGTTAAAAATCTAAACTAATACATTTTAGTTATTATGTGTTAGAGTACAAACACCGACCCTTTACTCTGTAATAACTTAAACTAACATATAATTGGTTCATATTCTACATTGTTCTGAAAAACTGCAGTAATAAATACATCATATATAACTTACTACTATACTCAAGTTATCCAAATGTCATTGCACTTACCTAATAGAAGCACTACTAAATGGTGTGTTATAAATAGAGAATAAATTCATAAGTACAAGATCGGTGTGACTTTTTCACACTACTAAACTTGAATAATCCTTAAACGGATGTCGATACTACTATGCATCTTACTAAACAATAAGCACATTGTTGTGTCATATCATGAATTAATTATGTACAGTAATTTGAAGTAATTTCTGGAATCGCTCTTGTTTTCAAAAATAGTACAAGGGCTCATTTTTATTAGCATAATATAGTTCCCTTCTGAATTTTTCATAAGGTTACCATTAGAGCTTATATGCGAGCAAATTGAAACATCCATACCACATAGATTTTTAGCTAATAATGTATTTAAGTTTCACCGATTAGTAAATTTTAAAACCAAGAAAATATTACTGGTGTTAGAAATTATGCTTTAATGCTGTGTAGCAGGTTTGGTTGATATCTTCTGTGGTGATCAGACTATATAATGAAGCTTGTCAATTTCAAAGCAACATAAGGTCAACCCAGACATATTACATCATCTAACTTCTTTAATACATCATCGTTGTGATCATCAAACAGTTAGTTGGAAAAATAGGTAACCACATCGATAATCACACCAGTGCACTAATAATATTTCATTATTGTAAGCTAACCAACCACTTTTTCGCTGTTCTTTTATTTTACATTTTGTTGAGTAGTAAATCCTTTTTTCAGAAGATTGTAACATATATCCTAAAAAGCTGAACTATGCAAAACCTAAGACCAGAAATCAAATCATTTCTCAGAAAGATAATTGGTAAAATACCTCTTTTATAAAGCATATGGAAACTATTTTAGCTATGATATTATTTCATAAATGTGTATGCGCATTCATAATACAATTGGTTGATCATTGGGTGGCTATCAATGTCATGCGTGTCTAGTCCTTATTAGTGCAGATCGAATGCTATCGGCCATGTTGCAATGTGGCCACCAGCCTAGGCTGGTGTTCCCTCAAGATTACAGGTAAACCTTGTTGACAAGTGCCAAGTAGCGCGAAACCCGGGTCCAGGGTTTCCTGTCGACTACCTCCAACCACCATCTAAATTCATAATACTGTTATTCATATAACTATAAGATAAATTATTGATAAAGTTTTAGCATATTAGAATCGTGTAAGTTTCTAATCAAGATGAAGTATTTATTATACTGAATTTTAAAAAAAATGGTATTATCGATCTGAATTCGGTCATTTAAGTTTCATTCTTGGCCTAACATAGAAATAGTGTGATAGAACAAACTGGATTGTGTGAAGATTAAATACTTAATTCCAATGTTACATACTAATTATTTAACTTAATATGATTTGGTTTAGTAATTTTTTTTCGTTTTTAGATATAAGATTATTCTTCATTTGGATAATACAGAATGACAATGATTTACGATAGTATTGTCTGGTATAAGTTTTTTAGGATTGTGGTCACATAAAAGAGAAAAAAAAGAGAGAAAACAACATTTATTTCTTATTAATCAACTTATTGACTTTGAAATAACAAACAAACAAACAAAGTAATATCTATTTGTTCCTTTAGATCTATTCAAGGGTTGTTATAGTCTAAGTCGTTTTGTAAATATATTAATCATAATCATTAACTATTAGTGACTAAGATAGTACTGTTGTTACCTTTAAACAAAGAACAAACTGTAAACTTTAAATGAACTTCGATATGTACAATGTAATTTGTAGATTTAAAGACAGTCATTCATAAAATATGTAAATGAAATTGTGTAGGTGTTTTTTTTTCATTTAATGTCTCAATATGTAAGTCATTTTCATAGTCATGTGTTAATGTAAGTAAGTAGTCAATTCATAAATAAATAAAAAAAATCAACCCACACAAAACAAGACTTGACTTAGTTTAGATTTGATTTTAAGAATTGTAATAATAATAAACCAAATTGTTTAAATATGAAGTACATAATGAATACCAGTTATTAATTAGTTGTCCTATGCATTATTTAAATCTTTGATTCAATGTTTTTGATTAGGTATTAAAGTGTCTTTCTCCTTCGTAATTATGTATAGAAAAATAGATACCCCATCTTATCTAGATAGAACCGTATACGAATTAATTCAATAGACTATCATATGAGATATTATTTTTATGATTTATGATAACTACTGTCTGGAAAACATAATAATTGGCGTTTTTTTAGCGAGTTAGTTTTCTACGGTATGGGGTCGCTAACCCCATGCCCAACCCTCCTCATTAATCCGGGCTTGAGACTGGCAGTAGCCCCCGGTGGGACTCCAGGCGGAGTTTCTGGAAAACATATTTGCTTCATATATATATATATATATATATATATATATATATATATATATACTGTTAAAGGTTGTTCAGTCTGAGCTACTGACCAACTTGAGTCATATGCTAACTCAAGAGATCTTCTAAATTACTAGTTCTACAATAATGATTTGAAGACTATTTCTGTGAAATAACAAACAAGTAGTATTACAAAATTATATTTGAAATATTAAGTAGTTTGAAAGTAACTTGAATAACTTAACTATAATTCTTATAGAGCTTAGTAATCCTGTTTGTACGGATCACTCAATTATATGCTAATAAAATCTTTTTATAACATGATCATAGATATATATCGAAAAAGTAAATCTTTTTTAAAAATGTTTTTTATTTCACTTTTAGAATAAAGCATTTGGAAGATGTTTACTTGAAGTTGTTTGTGAACGTCTTGATGTTCTTCCATATATATCCTATTTTGGACTTCGTTATTCTGACAATAATGGTATGAATGTAAGTGGTTTTGATATGTTAACATTTGTAAGTCATTGGAAAAAAACTTCATGATTAAGTATAAATGTATGATTAACAATAATCCTTCAATGTTTGTCTTTTTAAAAAAAAATAATTTATCATAAATTGTTGGCACAGCGGTTACTGTGTTGAGGATAATAAATGATCATACTAGAATCATCATTTAGCAATTGAAAGGTGAATATATGTAATTACCCTTCATTATAATTTATCATAGATCATTAATTTCATAGTATCTTATTATAAGTATCTAGATAAAATAGATAAACATGTCAATGGATTGGCTATTTCCAAATTACAAATTACTTGGTATACTGGTAGAGTTTATTAAAAATAATTCTGAAAATAGTTGACTTGTTGAAAATGTTTAAAGAAAGTTGTGTAATACCTTACCAGTCCAGTAAAGTTTACAAATACTGTTATTTGTAATCACTGATATAAGACTTCGTAAGTGTTAAATATGTTTAAAAAAAGATTCTATTATTTTTTACGGGATGACTTCGTAGAAACAAATCAAAACGACATTAAAACCCAAATTAAATAGAAATGAAGATTGAAACATCAATGAACTGTGTCTATTAGAAGAACAGTGTTAAATCCTTAACAATGTGAAATATAAGCAATGATGGAGAGTGGCTAGCAGTGGAATCCAGAACGCGCGTTTCATCCTCTTTAGGACTAGCCATCTGGATGTACCTACATCTCAGAGTTGATTTTCACTCTGGGACTCAAACCCAGTACCGTTTGCTTCAAACGCCATCACGTTATCCACTTAGCTACTGAGTCCTGATAGTCATTTGCTTGCACAATGAGGTCAAGTTTAAACTTACTTGGTATTGTTTTACTTGGATTTTCCCATTGATGTTTGGGACTGCGGTTGGTCACTCTCTTATTGGCATATGTGCTTACTGTGCGGATTGCCTCGATACTGGGTTCGATTCCCGAATAGGACGAGACACGTGTCCTGGACTCCACTGCTAGCCATTATCCATCTTTGCTTATAATGCTTGTGAATTATGACAATATTGAGGCAATACACACAGGTTGCACATATGCCAATAAGCGATTGATCAATTAGGTTCCTAAACATCAATGGGAAGATTTAAGTAAACAATACTAAGTGAATTTAATGTGAAACATACTTTTAGAAAATCAACCGATTTTCCGCCAACCGAAATAATATTGTAATTACTTCATAAAATTAAGTGATGTATGTGTTAAATAGTGAATGATTTGTGTACTGTTTGGTTTTTAGTAAAAAATCATGTGATTGAACATAGAGTTAAAACAAAAATTTTCTTCTGAGGTGTGATGTTTTGTATGTATACTTTCTACTGTCTATTTCGTATTGATACATCTATTGTACACTCAATTAATGTTTTCATTTCTTCTCAAAAGCCATGTATTTGAATATCATATGACTTCAAATGTATACTGTTCTCAAAATGTATTATGCATTTTATGTTTAAAATGCTTTGGGAATCTAATGTTAAAAGTTAGACTATATGGCTTTGATTTTTGTATTTACTAACTAAAATGAAACGGCCGTCTAGTGCTTCCAGGTTGTCAATGTTGGTCTAACATTGACCCATTCATTATATCAATTTAAACATATATATATATATATATATATATATATATATTGTAACGGGTGTGACTGCAGGGTTTGATACGCAGCGTTTATATCGATCGCTTCTGTGACAGTGGACACATAAACACGTAGTGGACGACCTAGTGCCCTGATTGGCCCTGCTTCGCTGTCTGTCCTAGCCAGCTGAGTCAAGAACACAAGTCACAGCCTCTGAGTTATGAATCATTATATTTCAAACATACTTTGTTTATATACCAATCAAGCATACCACATCGTACCATAAAATAGAAAACAACATTTTGTACAATATTCAACAAGTGAACAGATATCGACCAATAGGAAATGTCCATTTAAAGTCCAAGGACACCATAGACTTAACACGATAATTATTGGTATATTTTTCCGACTATCCTAACAATATGACAATCATAATAAAACTACCAAATTGTTGGGGAAAATAATTACTGATCATCAATATATTCCAGTTGCAACAGCTCATAAGAATGGATATATTGTTTTGTAATATCCATTGTCAGTTCTAAATTCTTCATGTGATATGTACAATCTATTCTTATCACAAAATAAATACATAAATATCACTGAACATTTAAAAGATAGAAATTAAAAGTGATCTTAAATTAATTTTAGTTCATCTGTTTGAAGAAAATAATCATAACTGTTTGAATGGTGGTTCACATGTAGCATCTTTAAAAGAATATAAGTCCAGTTACTTAACATTCGTACATATATTATCCTTTAAATGGTAACAGTTTTCCTAATCCTATTTATAGAGGGAAACAGAAAGAAAAACTTAAAAGGATGCAAAAAATTTCTATTGTTCAAATTAACATACTAGAAAGAGGCAATCTATAATAACAAGATAATATTAAATTGAATATAAAGGATTAGAGTGAATGGATTGTCGGATATATAAATGAAATATAGTGAAATAATTACAAAACAAAACGAGATAAGACATCAGTAGATTTAACACGATGTAATCGATTTCGTTTAATTAAATTATACTTTCTTGATCACTTGAATTTCAAATCTTATATTGGGTAAAAATCTAGCTACTGGATCTATTGATATGTTGGAATAATTTAGCCATATACTACTTAACTAGTGAGCCTCAAAAGCTTTATTTATAGTCACATACCTTTCAACTTTAAAGGTGATAATTCGTTACCGTAATAAAGTACTGACTTAATTACATCTCAATTAGTTCGCTTTCATCGGTGAGATATAATATTGCTAACATATTTAAAAGCTTGGGAATAACAACCTTCTGTGTTGTGTTATCTAGGTGATGATACATGAAACGTACTATCAGTCACTTTTCTCCTGGATACCTGTAAACATAATGCATTTTTTAGTTGATTTGACCTTATAATATTTCAGTTCTTTTGCATTTGCTATCATTATTATTTGTACTATCAGTTCGTTTAACATTAGTCCATATACCTCATTTTTAACCTACCGTACTCATTAAGTCTAATTTAGATAATTGTAACCAGTCGCTGTCTGATAACACTCATTTTCTTATTTCTCGCTTAGCAATGGATCAATTTAAATGACAAAATTAGTAAACAGCTTAAAGGTGAGTACATATCATACTTTTTACCAGTATGTGACGTTCTGTGTCTTATTTACTCATTATATATATATATTCAATAGTTGAATTCATGAGTCAACTGAAGCTAAATCACCATGGAAAACCTGCTGAGGAGTCCCATGCTAGAATAAAACAGCTGTCTAGTGCTTCCAAGTTTTCCATGATGATCTAGCTTCAACTGACTTATGAATTTAACTATTAAATTACTGAAATCTACAAAAAATCCTCTTCTATTTATAAGAAATTCGTTTTAAAAAGTGCTCACAGGAAATAACGTCTCTAGATTAGATATAACATTACAATTTTATCTTATGAGTTCATTTAATATAATATCATCATTTACTAAACATTTTGATCTTTAATATAAAAAAAACTAGGCTTTACATTGTTTTCTTCATTGAATAAAGTTTTTAATTGTTAAAATCATGAGTCAGTTGGAGCTAGACCACCATGGGAAACTTGGAAGCATTGAATGGCCGTTTCATTCTAGTATGGGACTTCTCAGCGGTGCGCATCCACGACCTCGCCCTCTGCAAGATCCGAACCCAGGACCTACTGGTTTCGCGCGCGAGCACTTAACCACTAGACCACTGATGAGCAGGGATCCAACGGTGCTAATTTCTAATTTCAACTAATCAACGAAATTTAGCGGTACAACCACCATTGTTTTCAGTGATTTACTATCTCACAACAGACCTGTTTGTTGAGGAGTCCCACAATTGGACGAAACGGCCGTTCAATGCTTCCAGGTTTTCCATGGTGGTCTAGCTTCAATTGACTTATGATCTTAACCAACGAAATTACTATAATATCTACAAAACCCCTTCTGACATTAAAGTTTTTAAGTTTAAATTTATTTCATTAAACATGAATTTCAACTTTCATTAAAGAAACATTGAAGAGAAACAAAATCAACACATCTATTCATAATTCAATACATTTAAGAATAACCAAGTGATTATTATTATCATTGATGATAAATCGATATAATATTAAACATTCTAATTCATTATACATTCAACTTTACTTGTAAGATGATTAATGTCTTTGTTATATGTATGTTAACTTTGTGCCATTTACAAAATTATTAATGACAATGCATATTGAGCAATTCATATGATTTATCATTTAATATAACTGTCTAAATTTAAATGTATTATTTTGTTACTTATTTAGAGACCTGTTAAAACAATCTTATTCCAATTTCATTTTATGTCAGAAGGGGTTTTTGTGTGGATGTTATAGTAATTTCAATAGTTGAGATCATGAGTCAGTTGAAGCTAGACCATTATGGAAAACTCGGAAGCACTGGACGGTTGTTTCGTCCTATTGTGGGATTCCTCAGCAATGGGCATGCACGATCTCGGCTTGTGTCAATTTATTTATATATAATTAATTTTGATTCATAATTAGTTGACTCCATTTTTTGTTTGTTTTTTACATCTTCTGTTTTATATTTACAGAAGTTAAAAATTCCACGTTTGGTTTTCGATTTATTTATTATCCAAACAATCCATTGGCGTGTTTCCCTAATGAAACAATTCGGTAAGTATTGAACAATTTCGTTGTAATGATATAGTAATAGTAATAATGACACTAATAATAATAATAATAATAATAATAATAATAATAATAATAATCTTTGTTATCAAACAAAAAGACTTTCACCCTTTTTACAACAAAAATCAAATATTCCAGTGTATACTGGTTGATTAATTCTATACCATGAAGTAAAATCTGTAATAAACATTATTAATTGATTAAATAATGCTCATCGTAACATTGTAAATGATAAGATGGATGGTAGCTAGTAGTGAAATGCAGAATACACACAAGCTAGTGGCTATCAGGACTCAGTAGCTAAGTAGATAACATGATGGCGTCTGAAGCTAATGGTACTTGGGTCGAGTCCAGGAGTGATGCAAGTACACCCATCTGACAAGTCCTAAATAGGACAAAACGAGTCTCCTAGATTCCACCGATAGCCACTATCCATCTTTGTTCCTAAATGACTTAAATCAATATGGAGGTAACTCGCACAGTATGCACATATGCCAATGAGAGACTGACCAATTACAATCGTAAGCATCAATGGTAAGATTCGAATAATGAATACAAAGTGCATTGTAAATGATAGTTTATAATTTAACTTGATGGATATTGATTTTAATTTTCAGCAAAGATAATGAGATTAAATATATTTGACGAATCCCAATATTTATCCTGTTAAAATATCTTCTCAATCAAAGGCTTACATCATTTGTGTGTTCATTAAAAAGAAAAATATGTTCATATTCTATTAAACTGACAGAAATGAGCTTAGTTTTTGTAACAATTCACCACTTAAAATTGTATTTTTATGAATGCAAATTTATTCAGATAATAAGGTTTAAGTGGAATAATTCTAAATTGTTACATAATTAAACAATGATATATATATATGCTTTTATTATATGTACAATAGTTGGGGAGGTTTTTTTATTGGAATGGGGGAGTTTATGGTGGTTGTACTAATTTTAACAGTTAAATTTATGGTTCGTTCTAAGCTAGACCACCACTGAAAACCTGAAAGCACTGTATCACCGTCTTGTTTTATTGTGAGATTCTTCAGCGGTGTAAAATCGTGGATACGCACTGCTGAGGAGTCTCAAACTAGGACGAAATAGCCACCCAATGCTTCTAGGTTTTCAGTGATGGTCTAGCTTAGATCAATTCGTGAATTTAACGATTAAGATGATTTTTTTCCGAATACGGTTTATAAATACTGATCAATGTTTTGATTTGAAATAACCAGAGGATTTATAAAGATAGAACATGATTAGAATAAAGTTTTACATTTTACGACGAATAATTGAACTTCACGTAGAAAAAACCTATGAAATTTCCTATACATTTACATTTAACATTTAAGGCCTTTGATTCTGGTACAAATAATTTGAGTTTAACATCATTAATGATAAGAAATTATATTATGAATAAAGGTAACATTATTATTATTATTATTGAATACATTCTTATTAGTCTATCGAAGTTTATTAAAGGGACCAATCGCTTTACATTTAAACTAGTTAGGTATCGAATAAAACTCATATTCAGATCTGTCGACTTATATATGTATATACTTTGTAGATCATATTAATTTGGTAAAATGAAATATTACGCAACAAAAATCATTAGATTATATGTTAAGACGCATAATTTTCCTTAATATGTGTATTTACTAAAGTGTAATTAGATCAGTTTGGGGAAATCTTGTTCAAGACATTAATATAAAGCTTTATAAATTTCACATCATACAAGTAAAAAGGTTTGATTACAATTGCTGACCTCCATGTTAGATACTTATTCTTATAATTCCTGACCTGTCCTACCAGAACTGTAGCCAAATTACCAGTTTATAAATACTATGCACGATTGTATATATATAATAAGCACATTAACTGATAGTTTTGTCTCAAAGATAAACTTGTATCTTGATTTTGTATGTAAACACAATAAAACGATCAGTAATTTCATTGCAATTAAAATATGGATAAGAGTTAGGTGTTTTTTATCGGTTAACTAGGAGGAAGATGATTTAGATTTTGTTGTCAATTGGATATTGTTTAATTTCGACTAATCCGTTCACATTTAAAAAGTCACAAATGTGATCAACCAATTATGCAGTAAATCTTTACTGTTGTAAACCAGAGAGAGAGAGAGAGATCAGAAAACAATAACAATTTTATTTGTTCAAAAGCCTATTCAAGGTATTTTAGTTTGGAACTTAATGAGATCCATTGAAAGAAAATGACATGCCAACAGGAATTTAGTCTCAATTAAATAAAAATTGACTGGAAGAAAACTGTCCTTATCTTTCTTCCTGTTGTGTAATAATGAATAAACAATTATTTACTTTAAAATTAATTTTCAAATACTAATTGAAATATGAGATAAAGTACAGTAAATATGTGTGGTAGAGAAGTATACTGTCTTTTATTAATCTTTGAAACACAATTAAAGAATTTGTAAATTATGCGGTTACTGTTACCAGTACAATAGTATTGTTCTGTATTAAGAAGCATCAAACAAGGTGACTAAACGCTTGACATGAAATAGTAATTTTTATTAAGTTAATTAGTTATAACATCTAAGGTGATGGATCTAACTAGGTAGAAAATCCTTCACCGTTATTTGAATAACAAGATGGAACAGTATGTTGTTTGCACCATTTTGTCTTCATCACTTACTTTCATCTGAGTACATATGATAAAATTTTCTCTCTCTCAAAACTTATTATCTGAAGATTTCTAGCTTTAAAATGTCTAGTTATCATCAGTCTCAAACTATGATGAAATCATTATTTATTACTTGTGATATAACAGAGGCATCAAAATAGTTTTCTTTCTATACATGATATGACTATACTACGACAATAACACTGGTGACCGAGTTTATAATACTGTTAGATTAGATATTCAAACGGTACACTGTACACAGACTAAATCATTTCCTATCAGATATCCGATTTACAAACAAACTAGAGAACCAGATTAATGTTAGACAATACTTTGTTCTACATGATTACAAGAAGTCACTATCAGTGAGTACAGAGTAGAAATCAATAAGAGGAAAGGGAATCACACATTTAATAAACAGTAAGTTGAATAACTGTTTATTCACACTTAGTGACCAACCACATTTACTTTCCTTACCATATATAAGATTTTCAGCTTTTAAAAGTTGTTTAGATAATTTTGTTCTTTACATTGGTAAACTACTATATATATATATATATATATATATATATATATATATATATATATCACTCTTTCTAAAAACAGCTCCAATTAACATTCTTTTTATTGATAAATCAATCAGTAACTCATAAACAACTTAGAGAGGTCATAATATGAGTAGCAACCACATAGATGGTAGTAGAAAAGATTATGAAATTTAATAGAATATAGACGAACCTTTGGATACTTTAGTTTCATTTATTTGTTCGTATTCACTTTCTTAGCAGGATGAACAAAATAATCATAGTTATTTTATTCTTCAAAAATTGATTATTTAATTAAAAAAGATCCCAGCTTAGATCTAAATAGTGTTTAAAATACATGGTTCCGTTGAATGGTACCATTTTGCAAATTATGTAAGATCATCAATCATTGATTGCACTGTAGCTAAACGATATGTTGTTTTTCTTTAACGAAAACGTTTTACGAATATGGACAAGCAATAGTATTTATAAGGTCAATCATATATGTCCGTTTATCATAAATTTTGTCAGAAATAGTGGATAAACACCTTGGTAGCACTAAATTGTATATGTCATATCATCTTAGTAACGAAATTCAGTGTTTTCAATAAATTCAATGGAAAGCCGATCGAACTGACGGTACAGTAAATGGAGGTCCACTAGGTTCTGTTTTAGTAGATGTTTTAATGGTTAATCTTCAAAAAACTATACTCAGAGGAGCGACCTGTGATGTGGTGTATTATGCGAGGTATGTTGACGACAATTTTATAGTATGTAATGATCAAAAACCCACAAAAAACCTGCTAAAGCTTATTAACAACGCTCTTAGAAATATCCAGTTCGCTATGAGACATAGGATGAATGATAAGTTACACTTTCTTGATGTTGTAATACAACGTAGTGAGGATGGGATAATTCAACGTTCAGTCTATTGAAAAGACACACGATGTTGGTATATCTGAATTTTAACAGATTTTGTTAAGTCGGTTAAAACAAGCACTTGTCAAAACATCATTCCAGAGAACAGGAAGGATTTGTATTGCCGATACACTGGATGCAAAACTAGTGAATGTTGAAAAATATTCAGGGAACAAATGAAACCTATGAAAATCTGTCAAGAAATACAGAAAATGTGTAGATATTAAGACTAAAAAACATGCAAAATCAAACACTATTTTCATTCAACCTGAATTTAAATGCGATAACGTTGCAGGGATGATGAAAAAAAGACTCGAGAACGACACTGACCAGAACGTAATCTGCAATCAAACCAACTATCTTATATAAAATAACATGCCTTTTACTACAGTCAAAGATCGATAGAAACTCTTAATATGTTTCCGTCAAATGCTTTTATAAACTCGCATGTAACTGTAGTAAGAATTATAGGCTTCCAGTTACTCTACTCCATGAGATCTCTTTAATACAGCATATCCAATTGGTCTAATAAAATATTTCATGATGATTAATCGACAATCGAACTTTACTCTTCTTAAATTTACTGAAGGCTCAAAAGTCAGATATATTATATCGGATTCGTGTATTTATAAAGAAACAATGATAAATATTTCATTACCATAATGATATCTCTCTTACTTCATTACATCTCTCACTAGAACTTTTTCGTTCCATCTAATTGTTTCATTTTCAATTTTTCTGAATACATAATTTTATCAGAAGAGGTTTTGTGGATATTATAGCAATTTTACTAGTTGAAATCATGAGTCAATTGAGGCTAAACCACCATGGAAAACCTGGAAGCGTTGAATGACCGTTTCGTCCTATTATGAGACTCCTCAGTAGTAGAGTTCTAGTGAGAAGCAGTAACCAGTGGAGTTCAACCGGGTAGGTTGTGACATAGTAACTCACTGAAGACAACTGTGGATATGTTATTCAATTTCGTGAATTAGTTGAAGTTAGACATTAACAACGTTGGATCCCGGCTCAGTGGTCTAGTGGTTAAGGACCAATTAGTCCTGGGTTCGAATCCCACGAGGCGGGATCGTGGATTGGCACTACTGAGGAGTCCCACAATAGGACGGACCAGCCGTCCACTGTTTCCAAGTTTTCCGTGGTTGTCTAGCATCAATTGACTAGTGGTCTCAACTATTAAAAATACATAATTTTATCTTTCATAATATAGATTTAAATTCATGTCATGTTTAACCACAAGTAACTTGTATTTAACTACTTCATTGCATTATCAAATAAATTTTCGTTGTCCCTTTTATAAATTTTGATAAAACAATGAGAAGACGTAGCTGATCTGAAAAATGTGATGTATTTACGCTATACATTTCACAGAATCTGATCACACATATACTTTTCAGGGCATTTTATATGAAAATAATAAAGGTCAATTAAATGAAAGTTCAAGCAAAAAAGTAACAAAGGGGAGAGAAACAATTTTACATTGTATATAAAGAATAAGGAATTGTCGCGTTATCTTAGGCCATAGAATGACTTAAGGATTACCAAGGTAAATTCAAGGTTACGACAAATTTACGAATAGCTAAGGCCTCAATAAATTTGCGAATTCGTCCTTGGTAATTTCTATACAACGTTCTAAAAGCTTTATTAATGTCAATTATGTGCACCGTTTCAATTATATGTTTCGCTATCGATGAACCTAGTTTTCTACCTCCCACGTTGATCGGATCATTTGGCACACATTGATTTTGAAATCATCTAGGCGCATGTTGAATGACCCTTGGTTGCGTCGTTCGATTACTCCTCCCTGTGCATGTGTGTCCACACAAACATGTAAACTGGTAAATAAAGTGGGATGTGACGCAATCATTTGTGCATTGTCTAAGTCTATTTGGAACCATGGGCTTAGACTTTTCAATCACAACCAATTGAGCAGCATAATAGGTTTTCTCGATAGGTGCTTTCAATCTCTGTCTTAAAACTATACTGTTAAATTCACCTCTATATGGTAGATGAATATAAACTTTTTTCTTAAGAACTGAATAAACAAGAGGTCGTGGCATTAACTGACTTTTGCACCTAATAATAAACTTTAATGGATAACCATTTGCTATTAATGTGTCGGTCACTAACTTTTCATTTTTTTCCACCTTATCAGAAGTACAAATTCTTTGGGTCCTCTTAAAGAAACACTTAACCAAGCCTCGCTTGTATTGCAATGGACAGAAACTATGTAAATTTAAGTGTTGTCCAGTCCAGGTTGGTTTCCAATACACTGACCGTCTAATAGTGCCATCCCCTCTTAGACTTAAAAGTAAATGTTTTGATGATAAAAGGAAGAGGAAGTAATTGTAGATAATTAAAATATACTCTTATTAAACTGTTATCTATCTATCTATCTATCTATCTATCTATCTATCTATCTATCTATCTATCTATCTATCTATCTAGACTGAAGACTGAAGTATTCCAGCAAGAATCCACAATTAAATATTTTCTAAGTTTTTAATTTATGGAAATTCATATTTACCTTGTTCACTACTATTTTTTCTTTTTTGTCCTTTATTTTTCTTCCTTTTTTTAATTAAAATGAAACACGTTTTATCGATTATGGGTATGTAAAGAAATGTTTAGGTCCTGGGTTCGAATCTCGCGGGGTGCGGGATCGTGGATGCGCACTGCTGAGGAGTCCCACAATAGGACGAAACGGCCGTCCAGTGCTTCCAGGTTTTCCATGGTAGTCTAGCTTCAACTGACTCATGATTTCAACCAGTGAAATTTCTAAAATCTCCACAAAACCCCTTCTGATAAATGTATATATATAAAATTATTTAATAAACATAATTATAAATAATCGTTGGTTTAATGATCGGTATGTGCATAATAGTCTGTAATTGATATTACTATTAATACTGTTTTGTTTGATTAATTATTTGATATCAGTTTTAAACCATAAATTAAATCAACTAAACTAAGGCAACAATTAAAAACCAAGGAAATACAAATTATGTAATTCATTTTAGTAGTGAATATTTACAATCGTTGCAAGGTTTAAATTCAGAATATTTATGTTATGCTCTCAAGATTTTGATAGAGTTTTGTTCTCTGAGCTGGATGGTTTGGTCGTGGAACTTTCATGGTTATTATGAACGACATCATTAGCACAAACTTTAGATAGATAAACATTCAGCTCAGTGAACAAAAATCCATCGAAATCATCCACCTGAGCTACAAATCTTCTCTACTATGCTCTAAAGATACTTACTCCATTTAGTTTATTTAGATATCATCCAGTCGTTCATATTTTCAATTTTATTCAATTTGTAAGATAGTATGATGCTTATTCATTATCAATCTGGGTTAAAGTAAATAAGTAAATAAATGACTGGATTACGTGCAATTCATATTGTGAACCTCATTGATTATCGTTTTTGTATATTAATGAATCTATCTGATCTTTTGTTCAACATTCATGTTACATTTTGTATTCTTGAATTATTGTATAGGATTCATACTGTATAATATTGTTTATTCTCAATTTTAATTAGAATATAAATATTTGTTATGTTTTACATAAATGAAATTGTATATTAATTGACTACTTATACTTATTTTTCTTTATTTCAACTCTTAGTTATTTACTTTTCCTTCAGTTGAGAAGGGATTTTTATGTTGGTCGTTTAAGAGCACAAGCAATGAAGATTTATGAATTAGCAGCATATGCTATACAAGGTAATTAATTTTAATATTAATACATTGATACATTAAAAAGAAAAATAATATTTTACAAAAATGATACAAGATTTACTGTGTATTATGTAATGAATAAACATGATAGTAACTAAGATATATGAATTTTCTATCTGATAATTGCTAGCTATGATTGTTTATTCTTTCCATTAATTATGACACAGTCTTATTCAAAACAATTAGTTCCTTTGATCAATTTCGATAATGCAGTGAAAAGACGAAGTTTATAAGAATTATGTGATATATTTGCGTAATACATTTCGAACAATCTGATCACATATATACTTGTTAAGACATTTTTACATGAAAATTAAAATGTAAACTAGACAGATTAAAGGTAAGCCGTAACAAAGAAAAAAATAATAATAAAGTACACAAAAACAATGTGATTACCACTCTGGATAATAAATCAGCATTACCAGGGTAGGGTAGGTGTAATGACAAATTATTTTTGAAGGCATAAAAGGGGTTTCAGTTTCCATACAGCCAAGGTTTCAATAAACCTCAGTATACGTCCTTGAAGGCTTTTGTATAACACTACAAATGCTGACTTGATGTCAACCTGATGACCACTCTCAACCAAATGTTTCGCAATGGAGGATGGTGTCTGTCTATCCTGTGATCTTATTTGACCATTGGAATTAATTCGTTCCTGCAGCCATTTTGGTATGTGTTTACCCACCCTTAAATGCAAATCACGATCGCTCCTCCCTATGAACGTGTTTCCGCACATACATGTGATTTGATAGACACAATGGGATTCGTAGAAGATAGACACTAACACCGTTGGATGCAGGCTCGGTAGTCTAGTGGTTAAACGCTCGTGAGCGAGACTGATCGATTCTAGGTTCGAATCCCGCAAAGTACACTGCTGAGGAGTCCCACAATATGATGAAACGGCCGTCCAGTGCTTCCAGGTTTTCCATGGTTATCTAGCTTCAACTGACTAATGATCTCAACGATTGAAATTACTACAATCTCCACAAAACCACTTCTGACACAATGGTATTTGACACAATTGCTTACGTGCTGTTTGGGCTTTTAGTGAAACACAGACCTACTGCGAAAACACTAATGAATGTATGTGGAGATTTTACTTGCTCTGAGAGGTTTGTAATCGATCTTTTCATTGTAAAGCAGACTATTTTTAGTATAAAGAAACATTCGATCAATAAAAACTCAGTTTAGTTTTTGATCCTTTACCAAACTATAGCTACTTCTGTAAGCAATTTCCTATTGTTAATACAAGATTTACGGGAAAACTTTCAGAGCATTGATAAAATGATGATATGAGATCATAATCTTAAGATTATATAAATAAAACTTATTTTGTTAAGCAATACTTTGACAAAGTTGTTTATTATTCAGTGCATTAATAATGACATAGATTAATTTAGATGTTCACTTTGAACAAAGGAGAAAGAGCTCATTATCACTATGTAATGCACTGAATATAATATTTATCAGATGGGTATGCTTATCGAATAACTCTCCTTTTATTACGATACAATATGCTTTCCCTTATCAGTCTTAAATGGTCTAGCAACTAAGATAATTTCTAAAAAAAACACTTCATAAGGAGTATTCCATTTGGTTTAGCGTTTTGGATTTCACCTTAAAAATTATAACTATTTTGACTTTGGTAGGCTTATCAGTATAATATAATTCAACCTTACCGATTCGGTTCTATTCAGTTGTGTGTTTCATTTTCACCACATTTTTAATATACTATTACTTTACTATTAAAGATATTCTTGTAGGTGAATACGAATAAGATTTATAAAACAATTGAATACAATGATTGTTGCTATTGTTTATCTGACAGGTCTTTTGTTTTGTTAATTTAAAAAAAACTTATTCAATATAGCTGAACATGGTCTCAAGGAGATTCCTCAAGGTTTTGACGTGGATACTATTCCTGGTGGTATGCGTGTCCTTCCTCAACTAACAAAACCTATTGTACGGCGAATCAAAAATCAGCTTGAACAAATCATGTAAGCTTTAAGGCAAACGGTTTGTTTCTAAAATTTCATTTCAATGTAGTGTGATAATAAAGTTCAGTATGAAAAGGCTATTATAGATTTGTAGCCTAATGTATTTCCAATGTTTTCAGAGTTTTTATCACAATAGGAATAACGATTTTAATAGCACGAATTGGAATAGGACTAATAGTGCACTTTAGATTTTTCGGTTGACATGTAAAATATTATATTAGATGGTTAACGATAACCTACATTAAGCCTTAGGCTCAGTTTAAGTATTTATTGGAACCTTTCAGCAGGGCATATTTCCCGAAATCAGAGAGCTGATCTGCGAAGTTGGATTCAGACGCGCATCACCCAATCCTATAGTTGGGGGCAATATCATTGACGGTGAATAATATGGCCTGCGGTTTTTGGAGGCAGGTTTTGGTGGCAAGCACTGACTTGTATAAAACCTGGTTTTAGAATATTCCACCGAATACCTCCAATCAATTAATGAGAAGTAGTTTGTATTTTGATACTGACCTACTCAGAGTGTTGACCACACTGAAATTTAATTGATAAAATTAATTAATTACTAAGCAGTGAAAAAAGACTGTGGTTACCACTAGGCGGTTGATTCTCATTTCAGTTAGACTATTAATGAATATTTACTTGCTTCAAACCTATTTAGCATTACAGATTCATATACTTGGATTCAATCCATAGTCTTTTGTAAACAAACCGTTTAAACCCATGTGAATGGAGTGTTGTTTTAATTTATCAACCATTGAGTAACTGTTAAGTAGCTTAACTACATTAAATCCTAAAGTGTAAAACTTAAAACAGTATAAGATTCCTCAGAGTGTTATACAGAATAATTTATATGAATAGATTAAAAGATTGGTTTACTATCAAATTACCCACTTGTTTTACATAGATAGTCAACATCCACCTTAAGATAGGACATTGATCAGAGTACCAACATATTTATTCATAAATATTAATTCATTATTCTAATTCTTAAATAAATACATAATAGTTATCTATCACAGTTTAGTTTATGGGACATGCAACGAATCTTGTATACATTTGTTTTGATTTGAATGATAATAAACACACTAAAATCTAAATAAAGCCAGAACAAATACTGGTGCAGAATAATGTGGAATTGAGGCTGCGAGGGACTAGGACTCTCAACAGTGTAATTGCTCGATATTTACTTGACACCGGACATGCCATCGACATTCCTCATGTTTTTAAAATTATTAGCAGACAAAGAAGTACGGCTGCTCTCCGTTTTACTAAAGCGATCGCGATAAAAAAGCTTAAACCGCATTTATGTATTCAGAAACAGACAGGAATAAACTTATTACTACCCTCGTAATTCAATTTTTTGTTTTTGGTTATTAGTGTTATTTTATTTATTTTTAAAATATTTAGTTTGTGTTATATTCCTCTCCCATTACCGAATTCTCAAACCACCCTTTCATTCATATATTTCCGCTCACTTGACCCTCTTAAATTATATGAACTCTTCTAATTCTATTCAATTATTACGTAACTCATCTTATCAATTTATTAATTCCATGAATCCTTCATTACCTCTAAAATTATCACATAATTTATCTTATCTGTCTTAGAACTCCACTCAACTATTACACCACCCATCCTTAACGTTTCCTTGATTCTAAACACTAAATAACCTCTGTCATGTTCTTGCATATATATATATATATATATATATATATATATATATATATATATATGTATATATATATATATATATATATATATATTGTTACTAAGCCAGCTACTGAGACCTGAAGTGAATGGTACTGGGTTCGAGTCTCAGAGTGAACATCAACTCGGAGATGCAGATACATCCAGATGGCGAGTCCCAAATAGGACGAAACATGCGTCCTGAATTCCACTGCTAGCCACTATCCATCTTCGCTTAGAAAAACTTGTAAAATTAAGGCAATATCGAGGCATACGCATAGTAGGCACATATGCCAATAACAGACTGATCAATTGAAGTCTTAAACCTCAATGGGAAGATACAAGCCAAACAATACCAAGTGAATATGTAGTTATTATTGATAACCTTTGTCATTCCAATCCTTTATATTCATTTTTATCAATTGTTCCATATTATGTAGAATTCCAATACATATTTGGTTATAAGCAGCTGACGAGAAACTATGAAATATAATGAATTCATATTATTCTACATCAATATTTGTTCTGGCTTTATTTAAATTTATAAATGGAACTAATTCCATGAAACACTAAAATCTCTTGCAATGTTCAGATACTATGCATTCTTAACATCTGTTTTAACAATATTATTTTTATCCTACTATTATATTTTCCTTATTTATTAATAATCTAAAGCCAATATTAATAACTGAAACATGAAACAAAGTAAAAATCGTTATCAACGGAATGTTTGCTTCGATTACATTACTTCTGAACTATAGACCATAATAATAATAATAATAATAATAATAATAATAATAATAATAATAATAATAATGAATATTGAATGTAAAAACTACATTCGAAATAATCTATTGAATAAACCAATGAAATTTAATTTAATTCTAAAGAAACTCAGACCAGTTTGTTGGGTGCCCAATTTCTTTTAGACTGTTCATTAAAAAATCCAAACATTCTTTATATCAAATCACAAATATTTTTTTATTGAACTATGATTTTTGTTTTATTTCACTGTGATTTTTTAATTTTCTTTTCTTGGAATAGAAAATATCTTATTTCAAATATGATGATAATAAGGAATAATGTAGTTCTCTCTCCAACTATTTACTATATTTAATACATACTTACTTACACCTGTTATTCTCAATGGAGCATAGGTCGCCGACCCGCATTCTCCAACCCACTTTGTCCTGGGCCTTCTTTTTTAGTTCCATCCAATTCTCGTTCATTTTTTTCATGTCTATCTCCATTTCCCGGCGTAATGTGTTCTTTGATCTTCCTCTTTTCCTTTGGCCTTGAGGATTCCACGTGAGGGCTTGTCTTGTGAACATTTAATACATACTTATATATATATCTACATAATATGCTAAATTTCTATTTGGCATGTTTTACACTCACATACATAACAGAAATTTCAGGAATGTTACATAATAATAATAATACTTGAAAATGATAGAATAATATAACACAATAATGATTCACATTTAATGAAGGATATTTCGAAAAGACGTTTGATAGAATAAGTCTATATAAATAATTTAATAAAAAAGAATAGATCAAGGGCCGATAGAATATTGAATGTCTTTGTAATAATATTGATTAATCGTTGGTTAATAAAGTATTGATTAGATTAGTCATGGTTTAGATAATCAATAAATTGATAATATTGTCAGTTTACTTACTTACTTACTTACACCTGTTACTCTCAATCGAGCATAGGCCACCGACTAGCATTCTCCAACCCACTCTCTCCTCGCCCTTCCTTTATAGTTCTATCCAATTTTTGTCAATTCTTTTCTCATGTCTGTCTCCATTTCTCGATGTAATGTGTTCTTTGGTCTTCCTATTCTCCTCCTTTGGCCTTGAGGATTTCATGTGAGGGTTTGCCTTGTGATGCAGTTCGGTGCTTTCTTCAATGTGTGTCCTATCCACTTCCAATGCTTCTTCCTGAATTCTTCCTCCACTGTGATCTGGTTTGTTCTCTCCCATATTAGGTTGTTGCTGATAGTGTCTAACCATATAATCCGAAATATTTCGCGCAGACAGCTATTACTAAGCACGTGTATCTTCTGGATGATGGGTTTCGTAGTTCTGCAGATTTCCGCCTCGTACAGTAGAACTGTTTTGACATTTGTATTGAAAATTCTGACCTTGGTATTGGTTGAGAGTTGTTTTGAGTTGGAGATGTTCTTCAGTTGTAAATATGCTGCTCTTGCTTTACCGATCCGCGGCTTCACATCTACGTCAGATCCATTGTGTTCATCAATGATGCTGCCCAAATATGTAAATGTTTTTACATCTTCCAAATCGTCTCCGTCAATTTTGATTAGATTGGTGGATGCTGTGTTGTATCGGAGAATCTTGCTTGTCCCTTTGTGTATATTGAGACCTACTGCTGCCGAGACTGCCGCTACACTGATCGTCTTCTCCTGCATTTGTTGTTGCGTTTGTGATAGAAGAGCCAGATCATCTGTGAAGTCTAGATCGTCCAGCTGCATTCTAGCTGTCCACTGTATTCCATGCTTCCCATCAGATGTTGACGTCTTCATGATCCAGTCGATCACCAGGAGAAAGAGAAAGGGTGAGAGTAAGCAACCTTGCCTAACACCGGTCTTTACCTCGAACGAGTCTGTCAGTTGTCCTCCATGTACGATTTTGCAGTTTAATCCATCATAGGAATTCTGTATGATATTGACTATCTTCTCAGGCACCCCATAGTGTTGTTCTGTCCACGCTATCAAATGCTTTTTTGTAGTTAATAAAGTTGATGTAGAGCGATGAACATTGTCAGCTTGGTACAATAAAAAAACTACATCTTGATTAATCTAAAGTGTTAAATAGATAGACCGAATGATTTTTGTAGCGTAATTCCAAGTACGTAAACAGAGTTATTACTAAAAGATAGAGAATTGAATTAACTGTATTTATTGATATATAATAATTATGAGTCAGTTGAAGCTAGACCACCATTGAAAACCCGGAAGCACTGGACGGCCGTTTCGTCCTAGCATGGGACTCCTCAGCAGTGTGCATCCACGAACCCGCCCCCTGCACGATTCGATCCCAGGACCTACTGGCTTCGCGCGCGAGCACTTAACCATTAGACCACTGAGCCGGCATCCAATGGTGTTAATGTCTAACTTCAACCAATCCACGAAGTTGCGCCATCGAACACCAATGTCTTCAGTGAGCTGATATCTCACAACAGACCTGGTTGAACTCCACTGGTGAAGGCTTCTCACTAGAACTCCAGAAGGTTCTCCTGAAGTCAGTCACTAGTGAGCAGTTGATTATTATCAGAATGAGTTGAAAACCTGGTTTTCAATGGTGGTCTAGCTTCAACTGACTCATGATTTCAACCTGTGAAATTTACTAAAATCTCCACAAACTCATTCTGATATAATAATTAGTTAAATTTCGTTCGATACTTTTAAAAGTCATTCAAGAATTAAAATTAACCAGTGTTATATCTAGAGCTTAGATTCTTAATATACCGCGTATAACTTGAACACTGAAATTCTAGAACCCTCCAAGTCTCAAATGAGAAGACAGAAGAAAAGTGAAAGGGATGCTATTCTAAACAGTGTCAATTAGGGTATAAAACTGCCAGAGATTTATGTTTTTAAGCGTAACATAGAATAAAATAAAGATAAAAATTTCTTTTTAGGCTCAATTTTAAATATTATGGAATTCAGTCACTTAAAACATCGAGATCCAAAAATTCAGATAAATAATTATACCATTACATGACAGTTTCTATTTATTTGAACATTCGACATTTGAACATCACGGTCTCATTTTTGTTTTATTTACTCCCTGTTGATATCCGCATTGTATTACACATACTTTGATGTTACAAGTTCAAATAAAACCAAATGAATTTGCAAGTATATATTGTAATTTTTTGTTTACTAATTGTAAAGTGGCATGTCTAAATCTGAAGCTGTGGAAAAATTCATCGATGAAGCGTCAAAAATTGAAACCTATGGCATGGAACCTTTTCAGGTGCAAGTAAGTGTGTATAGTTGTTTACTTTCGAATATTTCCGCCATTTAAATTTATTTAGTAACTTAACTTTCGAGCTTATTGTAATACATACGTAAACCAGTCGTCACATCAGACAGCCTGGTTGGTTAGTAGTATTGTGCTGTAAATTCAGGTGACTAAATTTAGTACTATAAAACATAAGTAACCCTGAATCTGTAACTCGTGGGACAATTTAATCTCAACAATAAGAGAATAAAATAAAATTTAAGACCACATAGACCACCTAACATTAACTTAGAATCCTGAAGGGAAACGGAAAAGAGTAAGGTCAAAAGATGCACTACTCCGAGAAATGGAAGCAGACATCAAAGGAATGAATAGCAACTCGAAACAACTGGGAAAGGTTATTCAGGATAGAGTTTGATGGAGAATCCTTTTGGGTGTCCTATGCTCCTCCACGAGGGGTAACAAGCGTAAGTAATTCAAAAAGTTATATATAGCTCAGGCAATAAGCGACCAGGAATTTGTTGAATCCAGTAAGACTCTAAATCGACCTTATTCTATGTCAACTACATTTTGTATATATATATTAATATATATATTCGTGACAGAAATTCTGAGTGAAAACAATGTATTTAACTGATTCTTTCTATTAGCCTTTACAAAGATGATAATAAAATAGTTTTTACAAAGCATGTACTTTACAGTCGATTGATTGATGAGTAATGACCAGTGTCAGGTTTGTTTAGTCCGTTAGTTCTGATAGAACTCTGTCAATCATGCTACAGTATAGCCACTAGTCTAAATGACTCAACACCACATTTAATATGTCATGATATTAGGTTTTTGCATCAATTCTTCCAAGAATATAGGTATACCTTACTGACGAGTCCTAAACGGTGCCGAACCTAGGGTCAGGGTTTTTTGCTGAGTACCTTGGGTCACCTAAGCAACCAAAGAATATGTTCTTTAACACAATAAAAATCATAAGGTTTTTGTTTTATTGTAAATCATCTACATAATAGTGAAGGAGCAGTTAATTAAAGGATTTTTAATCGCAATTTTGTTAAAATTGGTAAACAAGCCTTGAAATGTTATAAAATGAGTCAAATACTAAACATCATATTCAGATTGCATTGTAATATGTTTCGAGTAAGCGAAGAATACTCATGGGTCCAGTATCTAATAACTATTGCTCCTAACAGACGAACATTTATAGCTCTTCTAATTTTTAAGCCAATTAGATAAGTAGATATACTGCAAAGCCAATCAATATAATCCGGTCAGCAGTAAGGTTAAAAAGAATGAATTCAATTATTATCTGCTAACTATTGACTGACATATCCCAAATAATTTATCAGTTACTCCTTTATTTTTCGTTTTGAGTGATGCTACACCAAATTTTTAGAGAATCTTATTTTGTCTACGCACACACATTTTACCAACGATTACTGGTCTACACAAATATGAGGCATAAAACTTCTACAGAGTGTTTTAACTAATCGTTATGATATTTAACTTAAAACGGATATGATTATAAGTTAGGTTAAGATGACCAATAGCACAGAGACATAAAAGCTTCATTTTCTACAAAATGAGTTTCATATTTGCTTGTTTGTCAAGATGATTCAATAACAGTGTATTTGCTCATTTCATAAAAATATATATTTTTTGATTGAGATCATGAACCGATTGATGTTAAACCACCATTGAGAACTTGGAAGCACTGGACGGCCGTTTCGTCCTGTTGTATGGATGCGCACTGCTGAGGAGTCCCACAATGGGACGAAACGGCCGTCCAGTGCTTCCAGGTTCTCGATGGTGGTCTAACATCAATCGGTTCATGATCTCAATCAAAAACTGAACAATCTCCACGAGCCCTAAACTCATAAATATTTGTTAGGTTTCCTTCTTGTGAATTTTGTCTCATTATTGCTCACAATTTACTCGTTAGTTGTTTTTCTTCAGAGATAGCTTCAGGGTTACATTTATTTATGTATCTAATTGTTATATGATCCTTAACTTAAAATTATGTTTGATTTTGAATTTAAAGTCAACAATAAAAGAATCGCTCTTTTTTCAAGTTACACAATTATTTTATTCTATAAAAAAGGTTATTAGCCTGATGACCAGTATAATAATTTAAACTATAATAGAGAAGCGAAAAACCATTTACATGTTGTTATGACTTTATGTCCGGCTTTTTATGGCATGATTTATCCACCAATCAAAATACGACTTATACAATCTTTGCACTGTGCCAAAACCAATGACGTTCGACCGGTATGAGCAGTCTAGCGTCCTTATTGGTTCTATGTCCGCCTAGCCCGTCCATTTGAGTCCAGAACACTTAATACCAGCTTCCAATATGCGAATAGAATAGAATCATTTATTTCAGACATACTGGGTTTATATATCAATCAAACAGATAGCAACGCACCATAAAATAGGAAATAATATTTGTACACAATAAAGGCAAAAGGTGGCTGTGAACGTGCGAGGCAGTAGTCAATAAACTGAACATAGCTTAAGAACAGTAAATCGTACAATAATAAATTATAGGTCAAAATGAAGCTTATAATAAGAGGAATATAAATATACATAATCTAATTATTGAATAGTTATATTATAAGAATATATAGATAATATTAGTCCATTAATATGTCTCAGAAGTTACTCGTGATTTAATCTTCGTTCAGATATAACACATGTTTGTTTAATTCCTTTCTAAGTAAGTGCAGAACAGTTTGAAGCTATAAGATAACATATAAAATCATTTTCTTTTTATCAAAAATATTCATGGAGAGCAACAAACAGTAAAGACAATTGACTAAATGGACTATATATCTTCACAAAATGATGAACCGGAAACCATATAAGATTATGAGATAACATCTTGAGATCAAGAGAAAAAAGTCATTTTTTTTGTTTGCTTATTTTTCTGTGAAAAATTTTTTTTTAATTTTTCACTTTGTACAAATAAGATTTCTTCTAAGAAATAGACGTATGTAAATAATACTTTTAAGCATAGATTTGTTTGTTTAAAAAAATCAGTACATCAGCTGATTTTGATTACGTTCACAACAATAATAATAATAATAGTGGTACTAGTAGTAATAGTAGTAGTGGTAGTAGCAGTAATAGTAATAATAGTAATAAAGATGTTCCGAAAAATACTGATTACATCAGATGTTTTAGTGAAAATTAAATCAATATTATTATTAAGTTCTTATTATCTTCTATACTGTTGTTCCATGTGACAATGGTCTTAACGAATTCATTATGAATGAAAAAAAAAACAAATTCTAATTTAACTAACATAGTGACAAAACATAAAAAGAAACTACTGAATATTCTATAATTTATTTTTTGAGTAGTAATTTTAATTATAAGAACATTTGTTATATATGAATGTTATTTATTTCTGGGGTTATGAATTAGGAAAATATTTACTGGCAAGTCTAGTTGAATTTATGAAAGATAAAGTAAAAAAAGTAAATACGTCACATCTAGTCTAAGTGACATAACTAACTGTTTTACATTAATTAAATTTATAAGAATAATATTACAAAATTGATAGGAACTGGCTTAATTAAATACTACATATCTTGATTCATGGAGCTTTACATAGATTAAGATAAACTTAATGCTTAGTTCATGCTCTTATTGAACTAGTTAATGCAAATCATATAGTGTTTCTTACTTACGACTTAAGTTTAATAGTGGAGTTGCATTTTCGTTCAGTAATAGATAGATATATTACTTACCTACTTACGGTTACTACCCGTCGTGGAGGAGCATAGGATACTTAAAAGCATACTCCATCGAACTCTATCCTGGATAATCTTTCCCAATGGTCTCGAGTTGCTATTCATCCTTTTGATGTCTGCTTCCAATTCTCGATGTAATGTGTCTTTTGACCTTCCTCTTTTCCGTTTCCCTTCAGGATTTCAGATTAGCGCGTGCATCATGATGCAGTTTGGTGATTTCTACAATATATGCCCTAGTTGTATTATTTAGTTTTAGATTAGGAGCTATTCACTATAATCATAAGATAAATTCAGTTGTTTGGAACAGGAATAATGATTCAGATGAAAGATGATGAAATAACAGTCACGTAGAACTAGACTAGATAAACGTGTATTTGACTAGTTGGTTTGATGAAACTTATTAAAAACACAATACGTCTACCTTAAACATATCAAAATAATAATAAAGAAACAAAGATCACACTACCATATAATTTGGATTATTATGAACAGCTTTTTTCTAGTAAAATATTATAGATTTTATAACTGGAAGAAAGGTTTAATTTTATAATTTTAATATATTTACTTACTTACTTACTTACGCCTGTTACTCTCAATCGAGCATAGGCCACCGACTAGCATTATCAAACCCACTCTCTCCTCGCCCTTCCTTTATAGTTCTATCCAATTTTTGTCAATTCTTTTCTCATGTCTGTCTCCAGTTCTCGATGTAATGTGTTCTTTGGTCTTCCTATTCTCCTCCTTTGGCCTTGAGGATTTCATGTGAGGGTTTGCCTTGTGATGCAGTTCGGTGCTTTCTTCAATGTGTGTCCTATCCACTTCCAATGCTTCTTCCTGAATTCTTCCTCCACTGTGATCTGGTTTGTTCTCTCCCATATTAGGTTGTTGCTGATAGTGTCTAACCATATAATCCGAAATATTTTGCGTAGTCAGCTGTTAATAAACACCTGTATTTTCTGGATGATGGCTTTCGTTGTTCTCCAGGTTTCTGCTCCGTACAATAGAACTGTCTTTACATTTGTATTGAAAATCCTGGTTGATAGTTGTTTTGAGTTGGAGATGTTCTTCAGTTGTAAATATGCTGCTCTTGTTTTGCCGATCCACGCCATAATTTTATTATAAAGATTAGGTAAATAAGTTTTCGTTCTCAAAGACCAAAACCTCATCAATAGCACCCATGTGAGCTTCAAATCTTCTCTACTATCTCAATTATGTAAATAAGTGTTAATTTGAAAGATTTAATTTATTGATTGT